TTGAAAATAATACAATCTATATCAAATCATTCACACCCTAAGTCCGTACAAAGATGATCATAGTTGGACTATCTATCTATATATACCCGGCAGTGCCACCCTAAGATATATATGACCGTAACGAAGCTTCCCATAAACCATCACTGCCCTAAATTATACTGAAGGCAACCTGAAACTGAAAAGCCTGAAATTGGCCTCTATAAAGCTCGGCGTGCTCAGCAGAGCGGAACAGTATTTGATGCCGGTTCACCATCTGCAACTTTACAAGGCGCAGGTTCAGCTGCACATGAAATACTGTTCCCATCTCTGGACTGGGGCTCCCCAGTGCCAGCTCCTTCCATGTGATCGCAGAGCTGTTCGAGTCGTCAGCTACCGAGCTCTTTCCGATCGGCTTGAGTCACTGGCACTGCGAAGAGATGTTGCATCTCTTTGCGTACTTTATCGCATCCACCATGAGGAGTACTCTCGGGAATTGTTTGGACAAATTTCAGCCGCACAATTTCACCATCGCACTTCGCGACAAAACTCGCGATACGATCCATACCATCTGGATGACTGACGGTCCACCACTATGCGATTTAAAAGAAGTTTTCTTCCACGAACAACTTCCTTGTGGCATCGACTACGACCAGAGATTTTTCCGGATCGATACGACTTAGGAACCTTCAAGAAAAAAGCCTATTCCTTTTTAAAAGACCGGCAACGCATATGCAACTCCCCTGTGGTTGCAGTTGTTCACGAGCGGCGGTAATCACTTACCATCAGGTGAGCCGTATGCTCGTTTACCCCCCCCCCCCCTCCTATAAAAAGGGTCGCTCGCGTAAACCAAGAGTACCACGAATTAAACTGTGTGAGGCTATATGATTGTATAAATACTTTGAATGAGGCCTACAATAACTACCAACTAACAAATAAGTGAAAGTAGTAAATAGGTATGTAAGATCTATCCTGTCTATACCGCATAGGAAAAATAAAGCTATAGTTGTAATGCTTATAAGTCGTTTCCTCCGTAAAATGTTTTATTTCATAAGTTTAAAAACATTACAAAGTTATAATGCAGCTAGTTTTAGGTTAATTTCTATGGAGTAATAACAAAATTTTTAATAATTCAAGTGTATAAGTTGGTCGACTATTACTCGTTAACTTGTTAGTTCTACTTAGTTGTGATAGTTTTTCTTTTAACTTCACTATATACACCTACTACCGTGTATACTTTTCAAATTTCCAAACATAGTAGTTTAGGTGGTAGAGGGGGGGGACATGACTCTAATGAAAAAAACCACTTTGAGCTAAATATTTCGCAAACGGACCCCTTAATCGAAAAGAAGTTCTTCCATACTTGTGGTGTTTTTGAAATACCTGTCCAACGATACCCCACACGATGAAATAGACGGGTAAAAAATAAATTATCCTCCATTTACCTATATAGGAGGTCCCCAAAATAAAAAATGTTTCTTCAAATTTTATTTCACAGTTCTGTAGGCGTGATTAATATCTATAACTGTGCCAAATTACAGATTTGACGCACCTAGCTAGGGTTTACGAGTAAAACCGCGGACGGACGGACATGGTGAAACTATAAGGGTTCCTTGTTATTAAAGCTACGGAACCCTAAAAAACCTTAAATGTAACACTAAAGTTAAGGGTACATAGGGCGAACTTAACGTCATGTAGTATTTTCTGCCAGTCAACCCTGGATGCCAAAGACAATTGTTGGCAGATGCGAAACACGTACTCGTAGAATGTGTATATGTATTAAAAATATATATACATAGACATATATCCACAACATTTGCTTAAATATACACACGTTTGTGGCCCTGGTAGGAATAGGGGAGATCTACCGCCGGGCAAGGTGTTCTGTCCGGGGAACTACCAACGCATATCGGAGAGTTTATAATAACCAGAACCAACACTCCGTGTGATAGTTCGGAGATGTTCTATATATGCTGTTTATGATTCGGAATGTTGATAGCGTGATTTAGCCTTCGGTATGTTTCGCTTGCGGCGCGAGGACAGCGCCGCCACACGTTTATACAATGTGTATACGTGCTTATGAACTTAATATACTGGTGACCTTTTATACCGTCTGGAAAAAAATAGACACCCTAGCCTGTGACCCTGCGAAGTGACTAGGTCAAAATGCCTATTAAATTTATTGATAAAATCCCGTTCGTAAAGTAGGGTACATATGATTTGAATTTTGATAGATTTCAACTTATTTATTTATTTAATTAAAAAAAAATTGCTTTTATGTTTCGTAAAATATCAGTGCCATATGCTTCAACTCCGTTCACATGTTACAACCTATTTTTTCAAGACGGTAAAAAAGGTCATCCAGTATGACTAATATGCGTAATACTAAATATGATCTGACTATGAGAAATTCCAGAGAAAATCTAATGCCCAGACAAACTACTCGCTTACCCATGACCATCCCCTTACAACCTATCTGAATTCCACTGGTAAACATAGGCGTCACCAACAGATGCCAAGGACCAAACCACCAACATTTTTATTCGGCTATTAACACAAACATATTTAAGACAGACGTAAAATACGAGTACCCGGAAAGACCACGTCAAAGATGCTCACGTCTGGCACTGTGATTGTCAATAGACCTACCAATGGTGACAATTAAGCCTGCAACGGGGGAAGCCCACGATTAGCCATGAAATTTTTGGCATTCCCTTAGTCGTCACCCGCATTACGACACCTACGGGACGAAATGGAAAAATGGGTTATCCTACGCAACAGACGACTAATGTGGCAAATTAGCATTTAAAATTGAAAATGGCAATTTCATTGTTGCCAACGGAAATCATTTCGTATGAAGCTACATACTACAAGTCTGCCTCGTTGGTCTAGTGGTTGTAGTATTGTGACTGCTGATCATGAGTTCGAATCACGGGTCGGGCCAAAAAATCAACTATTGAGTTTTTCCGTCAAGAAATTCTCAGTAGCTGCTCGGAGTCAGGAAGTTGGCGATGTCTCACCCCCGTGCCTCTTAAAGTACGTAAAGCCGATGGTCCTGCGCCTGATCTCTCTCCGGTCGAGTCGGTTTACCGTCCAATCAGATTATGAGAATGAGGGAATAGAGAGTGCATCTGTGCTTGCGCATACACTTGGGTACTGTAATTTTGTCCTGCGCCGATGCCTAGTCTCCGTTGCGGCAGGCCGCCGTGAGCGAAATTCGGTATGGAGGACATTATTATTATTACAAGTATTTTAAAACGAACGATTATCTTGTGAATGGTCGTCTCTTTCCGCTCTAGACTTGTTTTAAACTTCCTCATTTTTTCATTTCCTTTTTTAAAAACTTTAGTGTGGAGGACACTAAGATTTCCTCCCGTATCGTGAAGTTTAGGTACTTACATAAATTTTACAAGAACAATATTCCAGACCAATGGGATTCGAATCCGCAACCCTCAACGCTGCAAATCATTGTTAAGTTTCTGCGCCACGGAACCATCTTCTCTTTCCTTCCTCGTAATAGCAAGCATTTAAATTATTATAATGCATTAATTCTAGTAGCAATTAAGCCATGGGGAAGAATCATATACGTGGTAGAGCCATGCTGCAGCTATATTATGGTTGAAGCACGAGTGGATCAGCTCCCCCGGAGAAAAACCACGCTCTCACAGAATATCCGCGTAAAATAGCAGCTTAAAATACTGCTGTGTTTCGTATGGTGAGTGTAGAGATCCAGAGACCCGTTTTAGTGGAAACGAGGCATTCAATCTTAGTCCCCAGGGGTGACAACGCATCTGCATTTTAATTCTTAATTGAGGATAGATGTAGATGTCTATAGGCCACAGCATTCATTACCATCAGGTGGACTGTGTGCTCGTTTGTCACCCTTATTCTATATAAAAAAGTTTATCTAGTGGAAGCCTCGTACTAGTAAGCGAAGCGTCGGGAGGTCCCCCACTAGATTAGGACTGGTATGAATGCAGGAAGTCTACGGTTGCAGGTAACATGGGACCATGACTTGGGCATTTTTTGGGTGCGTGTGTTCAGCAGTGGACTTGTGAAGTGCTCTAATTATGCCGATGTAGAATTCTAGCAGATTAGAGACTCAGAATGACCAACTAGTTGGTAGTCGTCAAGCGAAACAATGCCTGTTTACTTATCTACAATAATAAACGTCAAAACTTCATGTGTACCGTGAAATGGCCGCCGCTGGGCACTCCCGCGCCGCGGGACGCCGCGCTATTGAAATATCTTTTATCTCTCTTTGTGCGCGCCACAAAAAATTGACACCTGTCATAAATTGACATTAGAGTGGCTCCCACGGACAGATCTCCGGTGCGTTTACTAAGATTATCCTTGCAATGAGGCTTTTGTGTAAACAAACAAACCTGTTCCGGACAAACACGTATTATTCATGATCCTTGAATATTTAACTTACAATGTCCCCATTCAATGAAGTTATTTTTTACATTTTGAAAGGAAATATTAACTTACTTAGATATATGATAAGCAATTTTTTCAACAATCAGTGCATATTATGCGTAAAGTATTAAAACATATTTATAATACCAAGTAAAAAGTTAAAATTTTTATCAAGATTTTTTGCCATTTCTCTTGGTTGCCGCTGGTGCTGCCGAACCTACTGTATCTACTGTCCTTACACTACATTAGGGATAACTATATTTTTAAAAGTATGTAGGCGAACTACTATATTTTAATATGGTATGACTATTAATAAAGACTTAGAGCAGCAAATATTCCTTAAAATATAATTATAATTAAAATATAAAATATTCCTTATAATTAAAACGTAAAATATTAATTACTCAAGTGACGATAAAGACAAATCCTCCCCACAACGGGGGGAGGCCCATGTCCAGCGGTGGACTTTTTTGGGCTTATTAAAAAAATTAAGAAGTATTTTATTTCCACGTCAACCTAATACAAATTAGAGCTACACACAAAATTCTGCTTAGGTTATTACAGTAAATTAACTAGATATATTTTTATTTTCAGCTCCAAAACTGATGATACCTCCAACAGACTTCACAAGCCAAGGTGTCCTCGGAAGTCCACAGGACGGTCTTCGCACACCAACGGGCAGCCAGATGCTGGCCAACCCACTGCTCAACCTCAACAACACCGGCCGCACCAACTTCACCAACAAACAGCTTACAGAGCTGGAGAAAGAATTCCACTTCAACAAATACCTTACCAGAGCACGGAGGATAGAAATAGCCTCCGCTCTACAACTGAATGAGACCCAAGTAAAAATATGGTTCCAGAACAGAAGGATGAAGCAAAAGAAGAGGATTAAAGAAGGTCTAATTGTAGCTCCCGAGGTGACTCCATCAACCGCTTCCCACTCAAACACCATCGGATCATGTGAAAATAGTCGAGAGTCAAGTTAAAGCCAATTTGAACTTAGGTTTAATGCGCTGTAAAGACTATTATTTGAAAAAAGTTAAAACAAAAGTTAATTAAAAGTAAGAGTGGATTTTTTTAAGTCATTTATTTGTTACGACTCGTAAACTCCAATAAAAGTGAAATTGGAAAAGCAAACAATAGACTACATAGATTATACTATGTGTCAATAATGTGTACATAATATACTAACATAATAATTATTTTAAACGCTATTCAAATTAATAATACTGTAAGTTTTCAATTGTATTTTTTCGAGCAGGCCATTGTAGAGCTAATTTCCTGAAAACTGCGTGCTTGTTGTGTTTCAATAACAGAGATTTTGGATAGTTTAAATCGGTATTGTGTACTGCCCTAGATTTCAAATAAATAAAATAGCTTTGAAATTTTCATGAAAAAGTTTTTATACTTTTCGTTAAAAACTCAAAATAATGAAAATTCCCCAATAGTTTTTTTCTATTAAATGATAAATAACTTTCACGTTTAACATAATAAGGTAAAAGAAAAACAATGAAAACAAGAATATGTCGCCATTTTGTCATCGCAGTTTGTGACTTTCGTGACATACCTACCGTAAAGCGAGGCTTAGAGCATAAATGAGTTCACACGATGCATTACGGAGGTCGGTGGCGTGGAGTTTGAGCGGTGTAGTTGCAACTGCCCATATAAAATTCTGTGGTGTGATTTAACGTTTCACCGGTTTATTAATCGGCTTGTAGTGGTTAAAAAATTATATTCGATAAGAATTACCTGTTAACTATATTGGATAAAAAAATATTCTAATTCTATTCTCTTCTGATTTCGATGCAACATACGCACGGCATAACTACCCAAGAACGGGAGTATTCAGCAGACTGCAGACTTCTTCACTACGATTCGATACATGTACAACGCGTCTAACACACGACAGCATTGAGTTATACAAAGTGTAATAATATATAAATCAATGCACGACAGCATTGAGTTATACAAAGTGTAATAATATATAAATCAATGCACGACAGCATTGAGTTATACAAAGTGTAATAATATATAAATCAATGCACGACAGCATAATGTCGCTTTGTCATTTAGGCAGGTATCTTACATCAGTCAAAATAATCTCTTGTAGAAAAAAAATCGGTAATGGTTTCTTTGTATATATCATAATTGCCTCGTCCTTTGATGCCGATATTGTTACAATTAATGAAAAAATTGTCCTATATTGCGTAGAAAAAGTCAAGAGATGCATGCGGCAATCATGCTGCACCGCTTAACCAGCGTAACGCAACGTAACGCAACGTGTGGCTTCGATCTTACTCTAATTTATCATGCAAAATAGTTTTTATTAGATAAAACAATAATATACAAAATCGCAACATATCAAATTGAAAAAACCAAATCAATTTTTTTTTTTCAATAAAAATGTGTCTTTTAAAAAACAAGAAAGTACTACGTTTTACTATTGCCAGCATAGACAGAGAAACCTATAGACTTAAGATTAGCGTGGCCTCGAGCGAGAAAGGACGATAACGTAGTTTTAGGTTATACAATAATCTTTATGACTTTTAAACATATTTAGATAAAATTTCTAATTGTTCTAAGAACTGAACTGAACAAGATTCACCAATCTTAGGCTCACAAAACACTTTTTTTCTCACATAAACCAACTTGTAAACTCCTTAGATCGCTACGAAGTAGTTTGTCAAAGGTAAGTTGTTCAAAAAAAAACCGGCACGGAGAATGGGACAAACAATCACACCGCTCTGTCTCATTTCTATGCAAGACGAAAGAAGACGTCAATTTGTCTGTAGGTTTCTCTGTCTACGATTGCCAGTTATATAAAATTCACTTTAGGTCATAAAAAAATTACGAGATTACTTAGCTACATAGAGTAGGAATAACTTTTAGTCACAGATAATAAATACAGTGAGTTTAAAATTTTTATTTTTCACCTGCGAGCATTGTTCGTATTTATATTTAGTTTTATTGTATTTGTATTACCGAATACGTTTGAAATATAGCTTTTTTTACTTATTTAATTTTGTACAATCTTATAATTTAGACCAAAGCTGATTTTGTTTAATTTATTAAATACTTGATAATTTTTTTTGCGGTTTTACCGATGTACAGATCAGTGCGTTATCTTAGTTGATACTAATAATGTATATAGAAAGTTTGCGTGGTAGATTGGATTGTGTGTAAATTTTTTATCGTTAAGCATTTTACTTATTCAATAAATTAATTATATCTATTTTCAATGGAAGTTTTATTTTTTATGTAGAATCGATCACATGTTATGCCAATCGTTAAATGCTTCAGAAATTCTTGCAGAGCAACTTTATGAAAGTTTAAGTGACTGTGTGGAATCCATCACCCACGTCTTATACGTTAAAAAATATAACAAACGTAGCTTCCGATAGGTGATAGTGTTGTACCTTGCCGGATGTACCTAATTTAAATACCCGAACCGGCAATGTCAAACTTGCTGCAAAATCGTCAGGCTAATGTCCACTGACCTAAAATAGTGTGATTTTCAGTTAATCATCATCATCAGCCTGTTGGCAGTCTACTGCTCCAAGGAAATAGGAATGGAATCAGCCCTAATATTCACTCTTGGTAGATAGATGTTTGACTCTTTCGACTGGTTATCAGGCATTCCATCTTAGTCTTCAGGGATGAAAACAGCTTTTGTTTCTTAATCTATCGATGTACCTAGGCACTTATGGGCCACATCTATCACTTATCAGGTGGACTGTGTGTACTCGTTTTTCACCTTTTACTACTATAAAAAAGACTGATAGTTTATTAGCACTAAATATATTTAAGTAAAAGTGGTAAAGTACTGTCACCCGATAATACACTACACGTGTACACTGTTATAGCCCTTAGAGATTAAGGAATATTATCCTTCATTACCCTTTTCTCTAAATGTCATACTCACGAGTCAACTTTGAGAAGCATGGCTCGGTGGCTCCCCTTTGACTTATGAATGAGGCTCTAACAGCAAAATGATACTTCCGAATGTGCTAAACCTTGTCCCACAGATGGAATGCGGGGAGCAGAGAAGCTTTAGCAAACTACACCTACGTGGTTGGGCAGTGCTGCAGTTATATTAGTAGTGTAGTTGTAGCACGAATGGGTCGGCTCGACCGGGGAAGGACCACGCCCACCATCCTCCCCTTCCTTCCTCGTAAAATCAAGCATTTAAATTATTATAATGCATTAATAATAGTAGCAACCGTAAGGAAAAATCATATACGTGGTAGAGCCACGCTGCAGCTATATTATGGTTGAAGCAATAATGGGTTAGCTCCACCAGGGAAAACCACGCTCTCACAGACCACCAGTGTAAAATAGTAGCTTAATGCTGCTGTATTTCGTATGATGAGTGTAGAGAACCGGAGACCCTTTTTACTGGAAATGAAGCATTCCATCTTAGTCCTCACGGGTTACAATGCATCTGCATTTTTATTCGTAATCGAGGATAGATGTGGGTGTCTCTTGTCGTCACCCGTGGGGACTAAAATGGAATGCCTCGTTTCCAGTAAAATGGTCTCTGGTTCCCTACAATCACCATACGAAACAAAGCAGCACTGCACTACAACATGCAATTTTACGCTGGTATGCTGTGCGAGCGCTGTCCTACCCCGGTCGAGCTGACCCATTCGTGCTACAACCATAATATAGCTGCAGCGTGGCTCTACCACGTAAAACTTTGACGACTTCCAGCCGAACTACAAAATTTGCCGAATACAGAACCAGAGTATGAAACCCATCCAACTGCAGAAAGATGTAAGATAAGGTGACATTATTTCCCGAAACTCTTCAACGCTGCATTGGAAGACGTTTTCAACCTACTTGAGTGGAATGGATGCGGTAATAACATCAATGGCGAATATATCACTCACCTTCGATTTGCCGACGATATAGTTTTTATGGCATAATAGTTGAAGGACCTAATTATTATGCTCAATCACCTCAATAATGCCTCCTAACGAATAGGTCTTAAGATGAATATGAGAAAACAAAGATCATGATGTTGTGTAACATCCATGTCACACCCATGCCGGTGGTATTTGGAAGCACTATGTTCGAAATTGTTGACAAGTATGCTTACCTGGGACAAATAGTCCGACTAAATCCAACTTCGACCGTGAGGTCAATCTACGGATTCAACTCGGCTGGGCAGCGTTCGGAAAATTACGACATTTTTTACGTGGTAGAGCCGTCCTACAGCTATATTAGTAATATATTTGTGCAGTGGCAACGCAAGACCTAAATTTTATGTGGGCAAGATACATTTTGCGAGGTCCTCTGCCCGCGCAAGATGACGGATTATATAAAATGAAAAACACTTAACATTATGAAAATTTTTATTTTACAAAATGATTAAGTACCAACACTAAACAATTTCAAAGAAAAATGAAGAAATAGATATTCTGCTTTTTAACTTTTTATCCTGCTGAATTGTTTAATTATAGCCTCATAATCCAGGTTGGATGCTATATCTGCCTCGATAGATAAAACTTTCAACGCTGAAAGTCTTTTCTGTGACATTGCATTCCTCAGATAATTTTTATTGAGTACTAATTTTAAGAAACTTTCATCAGCGGAGGCTGTACTGATCGGTATTGTTAAATGACGATGTAAATCCAAATTTGTAATAATTGAACAAGCATGGTGTAAAAAAATCTGTTTAATACCGACTTTTAGGAGACTATATATAGGTTAATCCTTGCCTTCATAATCCAACATTTTTTACTTTTTGGCTACTCTTTTATTTTTAAAGTTTTTTGGCAGATCATAACAGTTTTTTCAATAAACTGTTAAATACCAGACAAGCATTTTTCGAAACAAGTTTGTCGATATTCTTTAATCCAATCACAAAATGTACGTAAACGCTCAAGAGCTTTAATTTGTCGTCACATATAGTGACAACCCTACCAAAGAAGCTTTGTGTCTGTTCCGTTTATATCTACTCATGTGCGTACAGCGCGAAAATATA